CGGGAAAAAATACAAATTGAAATACGGGAATTAGATCAAGACTACAAAATCTACACTTACACTTGCATGTGTACGGGCGATACATACATACATGTATACATACACACACACAACCGAACATTCATATCCACATAAACACAACTATACGCACTAAAAGTTCATTAACATACCCCCTCCGACCAAGACATACAATCCCCCACCCCGTTTTTCTGACATAACATACAAAATAAACACCGACGCGACAGACAGACAGACAGACATAACACACGATCCCTGAGAAGATGCAACCAGTTTTCACAAAATACATGTCTGAACACTGGAGGACCTGGCCCTCACGGTTAAGGTAACTGACAATGATCAGTTATATCGTAAAAGTGACCTCAGTGGTGACGATGACAATGATGGCGGCGTGGTGATGCTAACATTATTAAAACATCACATTCCACCCACAAAACAGAAACGTAAATCGCCAAAGAAGCCGTTCTAGTAATTGCTTCACTGAGGAGACGCCACAAACTGATTAGTGTCTTCCCTCGCCGGGCACCGCTTTCCATGGTGACACGATTCTTCTGCCAATGATGATGGCGGTGACGTAGAGGAAGACGTGATATATTCAAAATAGCGGTGTGGAGGGGGAAGGACAAGATAAGGAGGGAAACTGGTCGCGGAGGAGGGAGGGGAGATGGAGATGGAGATGGAGATGGAGAGGGAGAAAGGAGAAGGGGAGAGAGAGAGAGAGAGAGAGAGAGAGAGAGAGAGAGAGAGAAACAGACCTACTCGATCTCCACTATAATCAGTGACCTTGACTTCTCACCCCCCCCCCCCACCTCTCCCTCGACCACAGCGCAAACCCGTAATCGCCGACGCTAGAGTGTCGCATTCGAGGCTTGAAAGCAGAGCAGCCGACAGGGCCCCCTCTGGCCTCCTCTGACCCCGACCCCACCCCCACCTCCACCCCCACCGCAACCCGGCCCGCCTCGACCGACAGCGGCGACATGCAACTCGCTCGAGGGACAAACAACAAGCGTCCCCGACACACACGACCTTCCACCGTAAGGCCATCGCTCATAAGGGATAAGACAGCACGAGGTTGCAAGGGCCAAATCACACCTACGGCATTCGCGGGAGTGCGCGCGTTCAACATCCAACCAAAAGCTTGAGGTTTATGAAATTCCTCGTGCCTTGGTTGGAATGGTATGGCCATGTTCTAGAAGCTCTTTTTTTCGTCCCAGCAACAAGGCTTTACAATTAAATGAGAGGAAGGCGAGGAGGAGGAAGGAAAGAGGAAGAAAATCGAGAAAAAAAAGAGAAAGAAGCTGTAGGAAAAGCAGACGAGGAAGAACAAAAATGAATGAAGAAGAAAGAGAAGCAATGGAGGAAGTAAATGAAGAAATGGAAGAAGAAGAAGAAGAAGAAGAGGAAGGACAGCTATGATAATGAAACATAAGTTGGTCACAACACCAGATACCGCTCACGAGATATCTCACCAGCGACAAAACAAAAGAAGATTGCACAACCTGCCTCCGCCCCACCCTCCACCTCCCTCCCTCAGTGAACAGGAATGTAAAACATGTACAGCACCTTCTACGGCATACGACTGACGACCTTAAAAGTGAACTCTGATATCTCACATGACACGTGCGACCGCATTTATGTAACGGCGCGACTGAAGATGCTGGCGACACGTTAATACGAACTTGCTTGCTCTCTCACTCTCCTTCACCCCCCCCGCTAGGTCGTCTTCCTTCCTGGTACCAATTCGCTGACCGTAATCAATAAAGTTATGATTATATTGCCAATAACAATGATGATGATAATTAATTACTACTACTACGTCGCTGTTACCAATGCTACTACTACTGCACCAACAATAACAACGAAAGTAAAATTTCTTTATCGGAACGAAAACCACTTTCATAAATGCATTGCAGAATTTAAACGATTCATAAGTGGTTCTTTCACTATTACATGTTTCCCCGAAGTTAATGGCAGTTCTCGGCTAAGCCAAAGGTAAAAAGCAGGGAAGGAAAGGCACTGGAAGTTAGTCTGGGAGGAGAGGGGAGAGGGAAAGGGAGGGGGTGGAAGGATGGAGGAAAGAAGGGAGGGGGGTGGATGGATGGAGGAAAGTGAGGGGGGTGGAAAGATGGAGGAAAGAAGGGAGGGGGGAGAGGAAATAAGAAAGGAAGAAACAGATCGGAGGTAAATGAAAGAAGGAAGGGATGAGAGAAGAGAGGGACAAAAGGGAAGGAGGAAAAAGACGGAGGAACGAATGGGGGATGGGAGGAAGGAAATGGCGAAACTAACAACACGTATGATTGGAGAAAGGCATATATAAATAGAAGGAATATATAAATAGAGAGAAAATGAGAATAGAATGTAAGTAAGGAAAAATAGAAGAAAAAAGGAAAGAGAAGAGCCTAAAAAGGGAAAGATGGGTTTGCCAAGGTCGCTTACAGGCGAAAATCCTGCCGGGAAAGCATGCTCCCTTCACCCTTCCAGACATCCCGCAAGGCAAAACGCGCAAACGTATCGACTGCACATCCGGCCGAGAGCCAGGCCGGATGTGGGCCGCGATTCATGTCACGAGACGCCCTGCTGAGGGGGGTGGGGGTGAATGGCAGGAAGGTGGAAGGTGAAACGATAAGGTTACCGGAGGTGAGATTAAGAGAAAACGTAAGAAAGAAGGAAGAGGAGACAGAGATGAATGGATAGATAGAGAGAGAAGCACTAGAGAAAACAAAGAAAGGATGGGTTAGGGGACGGGGTAAGGGATGGGGAAGAGAGAGGGAGAGGGAGAGGGAGAGGGAGAGGGAGAGGGAGAGGGAGAGGGGGGAGGGAGGGAGGGAGGGAGGGAGGGAGGGAGGGAGGGAGGGAGGGAGGGAGGGAGGGAGAGAGAGAGAGAAAGGGTTTGAGAGCGGGGGAGGGAGGGAGCGGGAAAGAAAGAGAAAGAAAAAAGAAAGATAGAAAGAAAGTTCCTTCCCCAATACCCCAACCAATCCAGCTTACCAAACAGTATTTAAGAAAAGCCTAATTAAGCTAATCACGCCCCCCCCCCCTGAGTTGCCTTCCTCCCTACATTGACCTCTGACCTCGGCGACCTTAACCCAGCCACGGTGCAGGCACGAGTGTTTGCAACAGCGGCTCATTCACATACCACTTTCACTCTCATGCGGTGGAGTACAATTTTTTTTATTATTTTATGATTATGGCCACAAATGGAGGAAAACGTAATATTCATCAGGTGTACATATGAATACTCGCTCTCACTAATGTTCAAATATGCAAATGTTAAGCGAAGAAATATTTATGACCGAGCCTGCATCAAAATTCAAAACGATTCCTGAAAAAAGTTATCTCCGCCGCCAATCCCGTAACCGTGTGTCATCGCTATCGCCGAGGAGGCACTGAAGGGGGGGGGGGGTGCGACCAAGGCACTAAAGGGGAGTCCGAAAGTAAGATTGAAAAATCACTAAAGCAGGCACTGAACGCATAAGTGAAGGGTAACTAAAGGGGAGAGACTGAGGAGGCACTGAAGGGAAGGGTGCCAGTGCCAAACCTGCGCCGGAGATCCCGAGCCGACTCGCCAAGGAGAACGGGTTCGCTCTCGCGGTGGTCTCACGTCGCGGCCGTCCGCCGACGCCAGGAAGACCCGACGGAAACGAGGTCGGAACGAAATGGCAAGCAGACCTCGTTTTAAGCGTCCACGTTTAGCGGCCATCGGATCCAAATGGGGGTAAGCAAGTTGTCGATTCAATGCTAATCTAAAACTGCAGGATTTAACACGCTTCGGATTACGGGAAACTGTCAGCAGTAAAATATGAACGTTAAAAGAGCAAACTGAGCAATTACTGTCAGTTGCGCTGCTCTGATCTCCGTAACAATATCTAATGGAATTGTTTATTTTAAAATCACATTTTTGCTAAAAACAGTGAATAAAAACCCAATTCACGCCCGTTTTAAACGTACTACTAATAGACCAAATTTAATTCATTCTGCTAAAGCCTAAACGCCAGTTCCTCAAATCTGCTAAAGTTTCAAGGGCAACATCCAGAAAAGTCCTCTCCAGCAACGAAAAGACGGGTAAGGCGTCATATCCGTTCCGTAATCTGGCCAGGAGCTGCAATTGCACGTTTATAGCACAAAACTCACACAGCAAAGAAGCTTCGGCTTGCGTTGCCAAGTCATGTCTAAGCTGAGTGTCGGTCACGATTAAGCTTAAGTTCCATATCCGTACCTCATTTCAAATTTAAATTGGAAGAGCAAAATCGCAACAGTGTGATATACATTGACAGTATGTATATACTAAAATTATACCTGTATTTTTTCACCAATGTTCCTTAAGATAATACCTGTCAAAAATGCTTCAAGGCGGTACACGGCTAAACAAAGCGAGTCTTATTCCAACAAGGAGCAAATAAATCAACGAAGATAATATTTAACCTAGTTGAATTCTACAGAGATAGCCGATCACATGTTACAAACAATCCTTCACAGAAAAAAACTTGTTGTCTAGCTGCGATGCAACCACACCTGCTGCCTATCTTACGCAAGCCTGATCTCGCTCACAGACGCAGACAATGACGTCATCTGCATGGTAAAACAGACCCCACATGCACACAATGCATTAAGCATATTGATGATAATGGGTGTGGTTACCGATAGCAGAGGTCCTAATGCACTATAGTTATCTGCTAAGACAACGCATTGAATTAAATCGATTTTTTATATTTACTTCCTTATCCCTACATGGACACCCAGAAAAGGGTTGGTTGGGAGGTCCCCGGCATAGGCATCGTTACAATAATCCTATGATCCGACTTACCTTGTTCTGGCGTCGTCCTCAAAAACCCATTCAGTATGAAAATAATGTCAACATACAGTAATTCAGCCATACTGATATGAGACAAAAACACACACAAGACAGGCAGACAGGAAGATTCACACAGACAGACAGACGTACAAACAGAAAGAGACAGGCAGACAGAGACACAGACACTCACTCTGAGCGTTACCTCGGTACCGGGGACGCCATCAGCCAAATCGTCACTTACCTGAAAAACAAGAGAAATGCAAAATTAATAATACAAAAATACACGTTTTCTTATACCTACTGCCAGTGTTAACAGTGTAATGGCATTATGACCTCAAGCAAAGCCACGCAATTGCACGAAAACTGGCTTGCAATAACTGCCTGAGTCTTAGGACTTCTTTTTGCGAAGCCTTGCTGCACGCGTGGTCTTGGGCAACCGTGCGCCTTCGCAACTTAGTAATGGATTAGTGATACGAATAGAATAAAGGGGATAGATAGGCCAGTGGGGAGAAAGAGGGGAAGGGCAGGAAGGGAAGGGGAAGGATTGAAGAAATATGATAACAATAGAAAACACCTCGCTTAAACATAAAACTCGCAAGTACAACCACAAAACAAACATAACAACAAAATAGTTATATTAATAACAACAGAACAATTGCTACAATCCTGCAAAATAAAGCGCAAAGATCATAAAAAAAATCCTACACACACACACACACACACACACACACACCTCTCTCCCGAAAACTAACGACCGAAACTAAAAGAACTGGAAATATAGGAACTCCGAGGGGTCATTCCGGCCAAGTGACACGAACGGGAATCAAACAAAAATTTCCGGCGTGCCACACAAGCAGCGGCGAGCGGCAGCGGAACCAGTTCCTCTCCTCTCCCCTCTCCCCTCTCCGCTCCGCCCCTTCTTCCCTCTCCACTTGCGCTACAGGTCGCCCCCCACAGCCCCTACCACTTCTTACCTCTTGCCCCTTGCTCCTACCCTACCCCTACCGTAACCTCTACCCATGCCCCTGTCGCTCCCCCTTCAGCCAATGCCCATCCCTCACGCTCGCCCTTTGAAACAAACAGCCAACTAGGCCATCAACAGGTAAAAATACATGAGACAAGGAAGTACAACCGCTCATGTCACCCTCCTTCGCCCCCTCCCCCCCTCTCGTAACCCCAAACTCTCTACCCCCCCCCCCCCCCCCCCCCCCCGGAGAGCGAGGAAGGAACATCAAGGGAGTTATGTATGAATTGAAACACACGCTGCAGAAAGGAGAACGGAACAAAGTGGGGGATCACGGCTGGGAGACGGAACACAGGGAGAGAGATGGCAAGAATCCCTTTGAAGAGAGAGAGAGAGAGAGAGAGAGAGAGAGAGAGAGAGAGAGAGAGAGAGAGAGAGAGAGAGAGAGAGAGAGAGAGAGAGAGAGAGAGAGGGGGGGGGGGGTTGGGGGACGGGAAAATCTTAGTAGTAAATGTTTCATTACCATCTATCTAAATGAGCTTAAGTAGTAGATAACTTAAAACCTATTTTAGGTTTCACTCAATCAACAGACATTCGCAATGCATTCTTGAAATGTGTCATCCACCTATTAGAAATCATTTTTTTACTTACAACTTAGTTGCTAAAAAAATCCCAGACAAGTGGAAAAAATGTAAGAAAAAAGAGAGAGAAAAAAAAAACGGAAAAAAAAAAAATCAGAAAAAAATTCAGGTCACCACCCACTCCACAAACCAGCCCTAAATACATACACACATAAATAAAAACGCTAAGACACCAATGCTCCGCTCTAATTCACCTGACATTCGCTCCTATTAATAGCTGACGTCACATTTCGTATCACAACTGACACGATCACTACCGCTGCCGTCACGGCACTTGAAGATACGACACCCTTTCGGTTCTCGTGTCATATTTATTGGTGTTATCGTGGAATAATTGCACGGAAGATAATCAAATAGCAGAAATAAATGAAAGGAAATAAATAAACTGTACCAATTATGTTCCGTGAAAAAGGCTAACCACGCCAAAGTATTTTGGGAAAACTGAGACAATACTACGGAAGTGAACTCACATACTGAGGGAAAACCCTCTTTTTTGGCTTTATGAGACATCACCCAAGTTTTTACATTTACTCATGTACATATCCTTATCAACACCCTCTTATGATGTAATGTTAACAGAGGTATTTTAATCCCATTTGATTAAAACACACACACACACACACACACACAAACACACACACACACTCACTCACACTCAAACACACACACACACGTAAATACATTTATGAGGAAGTACCATCATTGGACCCCAAACCATACTGCAACCGGATCCCCTCCCCCCCACCCCCGCCGCCCTTTGCACCGAACGCAACCACAGGTGGCAGAAACATACACCTGCGTCAACCTTCTCCACCTTGACATCCACTTGCACGCCGCCGCGGGCACCCTTGCACCTCCCTTGCTCTTGCATTCTGATCTTAAAGCAACTTTCGAATAGCTTAGCAAAACGCTCATGAACATTGAAAAGTATAACATTGAATTTATTACTCTACTATTTATGCATGTATACATTTATCTGCTTATCCCTCTATCTATCTATCTATTTATCTATCTATCTATTTATCTATCTATCTATTTATCTATCTATTTATCTATCTTTATGTATGTATACATTTATCTGCCCATCCCTCTATCTATCAATCTATTTATCTATCAATAAAAGACATTTAGAAATATGCACCATAAACAGTCTAACGAACGCAGGAACAGTCAAAACAGCAACTCAACATCACCCATAAAGAAGGGGCCCGATAGCCCACGCCGGTAAAAACACTTAACATCGCCAGTATAACACAAGTTACATTAAGCTTGACAGTTAGTACACATACAAAAAGAGAATCTATTTATACATCAACTTTCAACACACACTTGTGAACAATCTATATCTGGGTTTTTGACCTTGGAACTACATCAAGTTAAAAATAAAATATATATAAAGTTATGATGGAACTGGGTCCCTTTTTGCTAATAAAATTTTGGGCTATACCATCTTCCTGGCCATTTTCCCACTTTTTATGAACACAATAATATATACATGTAATTTACATTCACATATTCCCACGCACCTATAAAGATGAAAATTTTCGGAATGTGTGGAAAACGTATACATGATAATGGATAAGTTCACAGCTGAAGAAATGCTAGGAAACTCTTGAGTGAAATCAAAGTAAAGTAATACGATCTCCATATGAACATATTCAATAGCTACAACATTCTGATATCATTAGCCACATTCTAAGAACCAATTAAACTTACACCTCCTGATCGACAAACCCTTTTAAGTTAATGAGAGAGAGATAAAAAAAAACTCTTCTAATTCTCGAAGGAAGAAAAACTTCCTTAACTACCGTCACCCCACTCTCTCTCTCTCATGAGAAAACAGGAAAGGAAAAAAAAAAGACAAAAATAAACAAATTAGGCCCCATTTCCCCAAAAGTCAACACCGGTTTGCGCAATCACCGCCCCTAATTGAGCCCCCGGCCGCAGAATCATGGGCAATTCCACATCAACTATTTGTGGATTAAGCGCCAGAAACTTCTATATTCCTAAACCCATCCGAAAACACACACAGACCAGCTGACTAAACAAACATCCCGGAGGTGGTGTTGGCAGGTGGTACCCGCACCGCACGTGACGTCACCACGAGATACGGGCACTCCATGGGGCGCTCTCTTCTCCCTACTTTGGCCCCGCCCCCGCTCTCGCCCCCGCCCCCGCCCCCGCCCGCGTTCTTGTTCTAGACCTATAATTAAAGCCTAAGCCTCTGGATATTTCATATCTTGGAGGCAAGATACATGTGAAAAAATCAACTGGCCCAACAGATGGCGAGACACATCGGGTAATCGCCATACACACAGGTAATAGTCAAGGCTTCCAGCAGCCCCGGCCAATGAGCTGGTTGAGAAATTAGATGAAAGCAGAGCACGCGGATACATGCATGCATGTATGTGTATGTTGTATGTATGCGTGCATCAATACAAAGCAAACCATACTTTGCACAAGCAACCCGTGCACCTCCCGCTGGAGTTGACATTCCAGCACTGAAGGCCGATTATCTTGCAAACACACACAAACACTCTCACATTCATTTCCATTCACTCTTCCGCTCCCTCTGCAGACGGCCCAAGCCGAGCTCTTTCCCGTAAGGAGGAAGCGCCCGCACCTGCGCATTGAAGCTGGTCCAAACGCCGTCGCACAACAAAGGAGAGCGAGATCTGTCAAACAGCCTCCGCCGCCGCGAACAGATGGTTCCCTCGCAGGCCGTAGAAGCCTCTTGCGACTCGCCTTCAGGGACGAAGCGGGGACTTCAAAGGGCACCGGTGACCGCGAGAGGCATCCTCCACGCCCATCAGGACGACAAATAAGCCGCGCAACGCCTAGTCCCGAGCACCTGCAGGACCTCCCACCGATCGACCAAGCGGCCCGCTATACCTACCCACGCTACATTTTGCATTTTCAAAAAACAGCGATAATAATCAATTCAAGAATCAAAATGACACTCACCAAAACTGCGCAGGCAAATGACAATAAAAAGGACACTCCCAGTCGAGCTTACAAAGATATGTAAAATGAAGGGTAAAAAAACTCTCCCCATCGAACGGTTCTAGCAAGTACTAAGTACGAGAAAAACCCTAAAGCGATGCATTAACGGAGGGATGAACCACACAAGCAACCACAAGGACGCACCTACCACGCCCCCGCAAGACAGGTACTCCGCTGCGTACCCTACACATCGGAACAAGTGCATAACGTCAGGGAATGATACCCACTCAAAATCTATCATGCCCTATACTCATCCAAAAATCCACTTTGCCCTATACCCACACAAAACAACCCTGCACTATGCCCAACTAAATCCCACCCAGCCCATATACCCACCCAGACTCACCCTGCCCTACACTCACTTCACCTTGCCCTTATAATCTACCCAAACCCACTCTACCCCCACACCAATACCCATCCAAAACCCATCGTGTTCTGTACTCACTCGAGACCCATCGATGCCCGCCGGACGAGATCCGACGAGGGAGAAAACTACGCCTTAGTTATGCCACATGAAATTATAGAAAAAAAAAATCGCGTGGGTCGGGCTCTCTTGTTTCTCCGCCCTCTCCCCTTCACCAACGAAACCTACGCAAACTTACATTAGGCCGGGAGTGACGGCGGGAGGGGAAT